TAGCCTGATATCACAGCAACAGGATTTTGTTACTCTCAATATATATATCTGCTTTATTTCTATTTACAGGAAGAGTGAGTGATCATCTTTTATATAGAAGCTAGTGATCAAAGCTTCCCTCTGAGAAGAGGAAATCTTGGCTTGGGGCTTTGTTTATTTGCAATAGAGTCAAATACTCATTGTGAGAATTATTTTTTCCATTTTTTTTTTTTAAAGATTCAACAATATTGCAATATAAATGCATACTGAAGTCAAAGTTCTTCATTCCTCCTATGAGGCTGGTGTTTCAAGCAACTTCTAGGTTAGTTCCAGGCTCTGTGCTATACTCTATCTTAGACTTCACAAGTTTTTGCATTCTTTTATGCACGATGGCCCATAAACTAGGAAGGCAACAGAATTTTCTCCCACATCTCTCTAGTCTAGACATTTTGTGGGTAATTAGGGAACCCTGTTGGAAAGTGGTAGATAAAGGTTTAAACTCCCTTATTATGAAAGAGTGGAGATAAAACAGCTAGGCTAATATATGAAAGGTGGCAGCTATCAGCAGCTTCTGCTGCTTTACTTTTTTTAGTTAACATGTAGTAGAAAAGTGAATGTTCCTGGAGTACCTAAACAGAAGTGTACTCACTGGGAGAGAGTTTGGAATAGACCGAGGTTCCTTTTGAGCAGCCCTTCCTTTGAGGTGCTACATGTTCAGAGATGCTGTTACAACCCAGACTAGGAGCCCAGGGTGTCGTAAAGGTTCTGTGATCCCCCTGGGTTAAATTAGGGTGAAACAACACCAAATGACCAGTTAAAATGTTTTACTTGTGGTAGAAATAACTTAAACTTGGAAAAGGATAGTAAACAATGTGATCTCTTATTGATAAATCTATAAGAAAGAGATGAAGGGAAAGAAAAGAAAAGAAAAGAAAAGAAAAGAAAAGAAAAGAAAAGAAAAGAAAAGAAAAGAAAAGAAAAGAAAAGAAAAGAAAAGAAAAGAAAAGAAAAGAAAAGAAAAGAAAAGAAAAGAAAAGAAAAGAAAAGAAAAGAAAAGAAAAGAAAAGAAAAGAAAAGAAAAGAAAAGAAAAGAAAAGAAAAGAAAAGAAAAGAAAAGAAAAGAAAAGAAAAGAAAAGAAAAGAAAAGAAAAAGAAAAGAAAAGAAAAAGAAAGGACAGAAAGAGAGTCTGATTCACCACTCCAAGTTCCAGTGTTGTCTCTGGTCCAGTTACCTTGGGTGGCGGGTGCACACATAACAAAATTTTCTGCTGCCTTTTAAGTTCATCTTATCAGCTGATTAGCATATTAGACAAAGAGAGACAGGTATTCCACAAATTCATTTCCATGAGAGATGAGGTGGTCCTGCCCCTCCCTACCACCTTTTTTTCTTCCTCAGTGTCTTTCTTCTTTGGTAGTTGTCCATCCTTTAGCTTATCAGTCTTTTTGGCCCAGACATATAGTTTCCTTTGATGTTTATCTAAGGAAAGTGACACTACAGCAGCAAGGAAGTGAAGTCGGGCATCCTTTGATACACTCTGCACTTCCTTGGACATCATTCCTTAGACTTATCACAAAGGCCACAACTTGTTCTTGAGGCTTTCTGTGTCAAGGAGTGTTTAAGGCATCAATGCCATCAGTTCCTTACAGATGTTGATTAAAATTCTTGATTATTTTGTGGGGGGTTTTTTGTTTGTTTGGTTGGTTTTGGTTGTTTGGTTATTCAGTTGGTTAGTTGTTTTTGTTTTGTTTTGTTTTGTTTACTCTGAGTTTCTTACTTAGGATATAGATTTTCTGACTCTGTCAAAAGCACCAGAATCTTATGCACTATCTAATGGCATTTGTATTTAATTTGCAGACAGGTATATAACCTTTTATATATCCTCTGGGTACTTCCTTCCAAAGCATCTAGGCTCTGAAGATACTAAATATCACTGAAAATTAACATGGTAATCTCCCACATGGAAGGTTCTGTCTACTTTATGATCCAGAGGTGCAATTGTAACATGTATGGAAATACCTATGATATTTTAGTTTAGCTTTCTTACCCAGGTCCTACCAAGAACAAAACAATGTCAATATGGACTTTAGTAAAAGCTGCATAAATATACACGTGAATGTGAAAAAAAAAGTCTTTGAGACACTTGTTGATTTAGTAGAAGTAAGAAGGCCAGAATGTTGGAAACAGGCCAATTTCTAGTGAGGGAAAAGTGAGAAGAAGATGAGGACAGACTTCAGAAGATCAGTACTTAAATGTGGTACTGAGAGAGTTTAGATAAAGGGAAAGAAAATGGATGAGTTGGAAAGAATCATACTGGAACAACCTGCTAGGAGGATGAAAGAAATTGTAATAGAGAATGATAATGCAGCCACCAGCTAGCAGGTGGAAGCTGGATGTGGACTTCTAAATAGCATAATCACTAACAGAGCTATTGAACAACAGTGTGCAAAACAAGTGAAGCATTTGTATAGCCAATCAGTTATAGTAGGTGATAAATATGCAAAGAAACTATATCAATTGGATTCAATATCATGAAGAACCTGTAATTACATGAATCACACTTTGTTAAGTACATAAAGAAATACAGGGAATAAATTAAAAAATAAATCCATTGTGGGAAAAAAGTGACTAAGCACAGAGAATTAATTACAGTGTGAACTAATGATACAGAGAATTAATCACAAAGCAAGCTGGTAAGAGAAAGGACAACTGAGGAGGTGGAGATGAGGCAGTAAGTAGCCAGCAAAGAAGCCAAAAGTACCAGGTGTTGCTGAGTGATGTAAGTGGCCACATTTTAACCAAACTGGCTCCAGTTGTGCTTCCTGCTGGGTTCTGATCTGTGCTGGGAACATCGTGCTGACATGTGAAGTGTTAGGAGAAAGGGAGAAGGCGATGAGTGGTTTTGGCCATGTGAGAAGAAAAGGTATGAAGATAAGGTTTATTCAGTCTGTTGGTTTGTGTTTCAGGACTATGGAGATGCAAAATGGGACTATGACTGGGGGCTTTATTGGTCTATTTTATTTTGGTTATACCAGAGAAACTAATGAGAGATCTTGGAAAGGCTTTTCTCTGACTAGTTTTAACTTCTTCATTTAACTGATCTCCCTTAACTAGTGTTGGTTGAGTCCTGCCTGTGCTTTTAATAAATCTCTCAAAAATTGTACATACACCATGAAATGTTTTCTCTGGTCTCTTGTCCTTTTCTTGCTCACCGATATTCTTATTTTCTTCTTCTAGCAGCTCTTCACATGATTTTAGGTCTGATACACAGTTCACCAAGTTTTGCAGAAGTCTTTATCTAGACTTTCCTGTGAACTGCTTGAGACTAGCCTTCCTTTTCTGCCTAAAGATAATGGAATTCCTTATTCAGCTTGGATGGTGAGGACTTGTGTGAGGTACTGGAATTTGTAAGCTTCTCCTGAGGCGTGATGCCTGTGTATGTTCTCTGGCTTGTATAGCTGTTGTCTGTCTAACTCATTAATACCCATATGCAAAAGGAGAAACTGTCTTGTGACTGTTTGAAAATGAGACTTGAAGCACCTTCCAGAAAACTATGGATTTAAAAAAAAAAACAAAGAAACATGGAGCCTAACTATGTTGTTATATTTTCCTAAAGTAATTGATGACGTAGTTGCTTCTAAGGACTGCTTACTTTATATTTTAGAAGGGGGAAAAAAAAAAAAAGTAGTTAATGTTCTAAAATACAGATACATGAATTATATTATCTGTAAAATTAGATCAGATTTTGGATGGAAACAAAAAACTTTTCAATAATGGTACTTCATTTTGTTGTAGAATGGCATCTGTGATATAATGTTGCTAAAAAGCCATGAAAAATCAGATTTTATATTTTTCTATTGTTATCTTATTGTTCCAGTTAATTAATATCATATTTCATTTTCTCTTGATTTAGTGCTACAGCCACCACAGAACAAGATAATTACATTAAATGGACTTTGTTTAAATTTTCATTGTATGAGAAAAAGAATTGTGATACTTGCTACAATTACACAAAGTGCAAGTAAGGATTATGCAAGTTTCCCTGTAGTCTTTTTCCAGTTGCTCCTCTCTCCTTAAATCATCTTCATCACAGAAAGCTGGAGGTTCCTAAGCCTTTTCTTTTCTGCTCCACTGAAATGAACCTGAATTGTTCCCCCAAAGAAAAAGCACGTTTTTCTCCAATACTGGAGGATAGAAATAGAAAGGGCTGGATCAGTGATGCTGTGAGGGAGGGAAGAGGGGACATGGCCCACCAGTAGCTGCTGTTTCACCCATCCTGAGCCTTTTTTTTGGCTGCTGCTGCAGCAGTCATTCTGTCTCTGCTATAAGCAAAACAGGCTTGGCTACTGGGAGGTGGGGGAGGAGGGCGCAGCATAGCCATGGTCAGCTGCCACTGTTTTCAGCAACCAGCTGCTTAGGCAAATAATTACCTTGTATTAGTGTCCTGAGCTCTATGTTCCTGTGTTGTGCTTCTGGATGTCTTCTGCATAGTGATGGCAAATAATTTTTAATGACATTGCTTTTTTTAAAGATTTGTTTTCTTTTTTTGAAAAAGTTTTGAATAGCTGTTCAACAAAAGATTTGAATTTCAATTTAAATCTCTCTCATCTTTGTAGTTTTTTAATACATATGAGAAGTATACCCAAAAGATATATTAAAAATACGCAGCCTTCTTTCTCAAGCTAATATCTTCCTTATTTTAAAATAAGGTTTCTAAGAAGTCAGCTTACAGTAAGAGGAAATAGATTTTGTTGGACTAATTAAAGTGAACAAGCTCATGAAGGGACTGTGTGCTTGAAAGCTTGTTGATTTTTGTTATTGTTGGATAGTGCTTGTATTGCTGTAACAAATCATTGGTTTGAGGTTAATGGGAATTCAGAGTTCTTAATTTCTTCCACAAATAAAACCCTGGAACAGCACCTGGCAGAGCATTTGAAAGAACAATTTTATTTACAACCCTATATAGTGTACATATATTCTGTCCAGATAATCTTTGACTACTCATAAATAGCTTATTACTGACCTTGCTGCTTTGGTACATATTCTGGTTTCTTATTGACCTCTGCTTTCTGTGGTTCATCTGTTTTTTTATTTTCACCCTTAAAAAAACCCAAACAAACAAACAAACAAAACAGGATTAGAAAATGTAGATGCTTTCTGTTGAGAGTGATAAGGACAGTTTGATGTTTGCAGCATTCTCCTAGGAGTTAGATTAACCATGTTGACAAACACTGAGATTTGTTCCTGGGTGTTCTGTGTGTGTTCTTGGACAAGACTTTCCAGATAGGTTCACAAAATGTCTCGGGTGATGAAAAAAACCTGATGTCTTCACATCTGCTGCACAAACCCAGTTATTTAGCTTGGAGTTCTGCCGCTGCATGTTCCCAGAGCCTCCTTCATGTTGTCAAGGCTAATGTGTTCACAAGCTAGTCTGCATCTCTGAATTAGTCATTCTTCTGTCTAAACCTTATGCTGGGCTAATATGTTTTGAGCTGCCTTACCACAGTGACAGATCTCAATCTTTACAAAATACAGTGGCAGTATCAACTTTCACTGCAAAAAAAATTAACTTCCTCCCACAATTACTGGCTTAGATCCGTGAACCAAGTCCCCACATAGCTGTACCTTGGTTCATCTTGGCTTTGACATAATGGCCCTTGGAGGAGGGAGTGAGAAGTGCATGGGGAGTCTTAGGTGTTCACAGTGCTCTGTAGCAGCATAGTACTAATCAAGCCCATAAGCATTTGTTATCTCAGAATGAATTTCTCTAGTGTTTATCATGCTGATTAATAGAGAAAGATAATAGATAGTATAAGCATGTAGAAAATTATTTGACTTTAGGAGATTTCAGATTTTCACACTCTTCTTTTTTTCCCTCTCCCTCTTCAAACTGAATGACCACCTCTCTTTTTGAGTTTCTGAGATTAATTTGGGGGTTTGTCTTTTTCTGTGAAAGTATTCATTTTTTCCTGTCTGCTTTTATTCGGAGTATCTGGCACTGAAGTCCTAATATATATTTATAAATACATAAAATAGATATTTTTAATATGTATATATGTAAAATTAAAATCCCAATCAATCTCTGTGCATACCAGATGTACTTGCATGTTGTTTTGTTATAAAGACTGTTTTCCTTGTTTCAGGCTTCCTCTTGATAATGTATTAATGTGAGAATAATGCTCTACAGTTAACGTGACGTGTCTTTCTTATTTTCTCTTTAGATGGTATCTCCTTGCAGGCAGAAAGTGTCTTAGACCTTGACCCATTCATCTGCCTCCATCTTAACAGTATCTATAATAGTGGAGGCTGATAGTGGGATCTGAGTGTTGTGCTGATGTATGGAATTATTCTGGTGAAAAGAATAATCTATGTCCCCAGAGAAATCTAAATATATATTTTTTTCTAGAGCAGTTTGCTAAGTGAGGTATGAGGCTGCACGGAAGTCAGCTGCTGAGACTCAGGATTTTTCTTCTTTGTTGAACAAAGACATTTTTGCCATTTTTTTTTTGTATGGCAGTATATATATGCTTGTTCATCGAACAATTGTTTTCTGCACGCTTATAATAATGAAAAATCATATTTGAGTTGTAGTTGGGCTGGATTAAAGTGCACCTCTTCTTGAGGTTTTACAAATCTATGAACTTCAGAAAAACATCAGTTCTAGGAAATGATTCAGTCTTACAAACATTTATGTTTTTATTAGTTTTACTTAAAACTGTAAAATTTATGGAACTCTTGTACATGTATATCAACACTTCCAGAAGTTAAGTCAGAGTCTTTGTATATGTTTGATTGTCATGAACGTGTTAGAAGACACTGGGGAAAAAAACCCAAATGCTCTCTAGGATATTACTGGGAAAAGATAAAAACTCCAAGGTAACAAGTAAAGGAATATCTATCCTTCTGTCTCATTTTAAAATATTCTATTAATTAAAATGAAAAGAATGAGTTAGCTTTTCAGTAAAGAACTACTAAATAAAAAATATATACTGTAGACTAATATGACTTACTGTATTTCTCAAACAGGAATTATAATAGTAAAACCAAGCCAAATAAAATACTTCTTAAAAAAGCTACAAAATTAAGTTGCCTTTCCAACAGTTACCGGGAAGCAGGCTGATACATACCTGTATGGGATTCCAAAATTCAGAAAGAAGATACTGATGTTTTCTGCCAGCAGTGAACAAGATGAAGGGGAACACATCAACACATCAAAAGCAGCCATATCAGTATTTCTAATTCTCTGTTTGCAATATTGATCAAGACCTCTCATAAGTGTGTACTATTTCAGGTTAGCCCTATTTGGAAAGCAACTTGCAAAAGGAAGAAATCTATGTTTTCTTCATAAAGAAAATACAGGAGGGAGGAGGGGGATAAAGTATTTTTTTTTGTGTTTTTTTTTTCTAAATAAAGATTGGTACTATGCGCAGTAAGTATGTTTGAAAATATAACCTTTGGTATTTACTTACATAAATACTTTCTAAGCAGAAGGTAATTATTACTGAGTATATACTAAACAATAAAGACTATACCTGTCCAGTAGATGTCTTGGATTGTGCAGAGACACCTTCATTCTTGCAATCTGCTTCCTCAGGTGATAATTTTGCTCCAGAAAATACTGCTTTTATTTTTGTAAACATCTTGCCCATTCAACTCTCCCGAAGCCTTTATAACTGTTTTACCATTAACGGACATATAGAACATGTCTTCTTGCCATCAGTAATCAATCCAATTAGACACTTAACCAGGTTTAGTTCTGATTAATGCCTTAAATGCCTTGCACAGTCTGTTTCAGTGATGGCTTTTTCTCACATTTAGTACTTTTGTTTTATGTTGTAAACTATGTTATTGCTAGTCTTGATGGTTACACTAAATACAGACTTAACTTTTCATGCATAAATTCATAGTGAGCACTTTCTGGTTAGAATAAATCACTGTATAATCTTTTATGTATTGGAAAGTAAGCATTTAGTTTATATTTAGAAATGAAGTTTTAAGTCCTAAAAACACCTAGAGATTAACCTGGAAATGAAAAAGATTAATTGACCAGTAATTACCATCTACCCAATAGATTACATGAGATCTCAAGAGGTTTAATTTCTTTGCAATTCTGAACTTTATAATTTTTTTTTTTTTTTAATACGAGTGAATGACACTAAAAGGTCTTTTGTCAGGGTTTGTTCTAGAAAGTTTATACCTGGTTTTATTCCATTCATCTTATTTTAAAACAGGCAAATAATTTCATTTTTCATTCTCCAATGTATTTACAGGCAATACTATTTTATGCAGAGTTTTAGCTATAGTTTTGAGAAGATTGAGTTTTAGGTGAATGTCCTACAAATTAGTAAAATATACATTTTTATAGAGTTTACAATTAGGACATAATTTTGAGATTCTATAGGCATTAGGTCATCCTATATAAATCTCTATAAAATCAAGCATGGTTTATTTTATAGGTAAAACTCAATTTCAAATACCTCTAGTGCCATGTTGGTTTGACATCTGTTAACAATGATCTTTACAACTTAATTGTCTCTTCTTGTCCTTAATTCCACTTTATTTATTACAAGTCTATGCCTTCGCTATAAGGTCTGAATTTGGGCTAACAGTTTGTAATTGATTTATGCTGGCCATCAATGCATTAAGAAATGCAGGACCCTACTCCTTTGAGTTATTTCCATAATTACATATTTAGCAATTATATTGAAGTATTGAAAATGTCCCAATGGCAGGCTCTTTGGGGCTTCTCTTCTCTGGTAAGAATGGTTTCTAAACCTTAGTCTACCACAGTAGTAACTGTAAGAATGAACCAACAATTTTCGTTAGTTACTTTGCAAACTTTTTTCCTACATTACTACTTACGAGGCAGACCTTATAATAGTTGACCAGACTTCAGTCTTTGAACTGGGAGCCCCCCCACACGAATGATTTCATACTTGCTAGATGCAACAAGAGCTTGGAACCTCCTTTTTTATTAAGGTCTGTGTTTTGATTTACTTTAAAAACAATGCAATTCTTGCTAATGTTTCAGTCTGTGTTTAAATTATAAATTCTAAGTAATCCAAGGTACTTTCACATTTACACAGGTCTGGACTATAGATAGCTTCTTTTCTTTTGGATATCAAATTCTTCCTCCATGCTATTTTTGCATTGGCTCGTAACAGAAGAATCTCAGAAGAAATACTAGAAAAAATGATAGTTTTTATTTTACTATGTAATATTTTAGTGGATTACATTTACTAATGCAGGAAACTTTAATCAGTTCCACACATAAACTATACCTGCAGACTGAGACTATTTGAGAGCAACTGTTTTCTCATTATAATAAATTCTTCATTATTAAAAGTTTTTGGAATAAGTAATTCTGTTTTATTAAAAATGATAAAGTCGTGTATAAAGCATAATACAGTGAAGATATGTAGCATTTATTAAAGGAAAATATGTATCAAGAATTTCTGCAAAATTATGCACATTTTTCTTTTTAAAAATGCTAAGAAACAAGATGTTCTATTATTTTTTTAAATTTTATTATAGTGTTTATGATGGTTTTAATTTAGAATTAAAAGGCATGTAAAAGGAATGTAACAGACATTAAAAGGAAAGTGCCTTTAGAAACCTGCTAATAACTATTGACATCTGCAGTTAATGAATGTTATATTGGTTTAGTCTGTGACTAATTAAATAAATGTTTGAAATCCCTTCATATGATGTGATTTTGTAAGTAATAAGCAAATCACAACAAACCTAAAATTGTGATACCAATTGGAGGTAAAAGTTCACCTGCTGACCATGGTAAATTGATTCATCTGCTTCAAAATTTAATTTCTCTTCAATACACTATATCTATTCAGGGTCTGAACATTCTAAAAGCACTTCAGTTAATTGAGTATCATGATGTGCTGTTAAGTAAGAAGATTGAGTCTGGCAGAAAAGCAGATAGCCTGTATCCAGTTAGCTTCTTAGCTACAGTGGCTTTGACCAATGCTTACTATATGCTGTATTTATGGTAAACCTTACAGGGTATAGGGGTTTCAAACCTCTCTCATGCATCCTCTAGATACAGATGGAGTACATCCTATATTTATTAATGATGTACTCCCCCATTTTTTCTTTCAAGGAAATGTTGCTCCTTCATTTAATAATTTTATATATGCATTGGTTTTCCAAAATTTTGAAAATATTTTTCTTTGAGGGATTTTTTTTAAATCCAAAATTTAGGTGCTCACAGACTGGATCTTATGTTCTAAACTTTTGTAAGAGATTATCCTCCATGAAACATAACAGGTGTCTTGGAAACTGAAGTAATTTAAATGCTGTATGTTCACTGATTTGTAATCACTGCTAAAACATTTGGCAGGACTCTTTTCTACCACCCCATTTGAAGGTGTATTAAAGAGTGCAGTACTTCTTAAATCATAAGAATATACAACAAAAAGTATGACAATTTTCTGCATAATTAGGACAGTTGCTAATGAGAAGAGATTCCTTTCTTCTGGACTGTTCTTGGATGTGGGTGGTGGTTTTTTTTTGTTTTTTTTTTTTTTTTTTTTTTTTTTTGTTTTGTTTGTTTGTTTTGTTTGTTTGTTTGTTTTCCCCTGGTACTTGCTATGAAATATTTGAAACCTCTGTGAGCCCAGATTTAACTACCAGTATATTTAATAGGCATATAGTGAATTCCAAGGACTGCTTTGCATTCTTCAACAGGCAGTGTCACTTGCTCCATTTGTTTGAATGTACAGGTCAACAGATATTGCCTGAATTTTTTATTTTTGTATTAAATCAGGTGTAGCATGTTAAAAAGATCAAAGCCCGAGTTACACTTCTATTCACATCTTCCTACCATGTAAAATGTAATGTGCAGGTGTGTTTTATCAGTGTCTTTTTCCATTTTCTTTCCACGATTCAAGGATCTTGACAGCTAAGAATAGTACATTTTTCTTTAGATCTCTGTAATAGTAGTCAGACAGAAGCTGAATCTAGCACTTCTCATAATTTTTCCTCTGCACAGTGTAAAATTTGTCAATTTAGCCTATTTTTGTGGATTAACAAAAATCATAGCACTAATTTATCTGTCTTCCTTTATTTTGAGGACTTTGTTAAAAGACTTTTTTTTTTTTTTTTTCCCCTTAGGAAAAAATGGTTCTAGAGCTCAGATTTTTCTTATCTACTCATTGACTTCTTTTTTAAATTCAGGTGATACTATCACCTAACTATGTCTTAATAAAGAAAATTAATTCATACTTTTAATGGAGATATGTCTCCCTAAGCATATTATCACAGTTATGGCCAGATGTAAGCATTGTAACTGTAGCATTCAGTGTGGTATCCTTAGAAATAACAAAGGTTACTTAAAAAATGATTCTTTGCTGTTTCAGTGTAGTTAATTTTACACTGATTCATGAGGCTTTTCTTATGTTACTCTTTATACACCCAGCACAAATGTACCATAATTAGCCTCTGCATCCTAAGGTTGAGGCCGTAATAGGTCTTATGGTCTGGAGGAATCTGGAAATACACAATAATCTTGATTGTTTTGGTCTTCAAGAAGTGCAGACTCTAATTTTTCCTTTCAAATTCCATTTTATATGTCAAATCCAATTAACAGAGTTTGTTCAGATTACAAGAAAAAGCAGATGAGAACGCTTCTGTGGCTATAGGCTAGAAAAGACAGGGTGCTGATAATTCCGCATTCCTCTATATAAAATTACTTAGTTAAGGTAGGAGCCGTATCCTAAAGACTCATTTTCTGGAGCCTTCACTAGATCCTGGCTACCTCTGAGTATGATACTATCATCATGCCATAACGTGATGGGTGGGTTGGAGGAGATGGGAAAACTGACTGTCAGCCTGCCAAAATTATGATGGCTGATTCCATCTCTTGCTAGTGATGAAAGTAACATGTGAATCAAAGGAATGGGGCATAAGACAGAAGAAAAATGCAAGCCCACTTATGATTAATTATGTCACTGGTCTGCAGGCATAATAAAAGATGAGGAAATTTTCTTGTTGACTAGTAGAAAGTACACTTCCCTTAACATATCTGGCTTTTTTTTTTTTCCTTTTCTCTGTCTTTTTGCTTCTTTATTCCCACCGCACACACCCCACGCCCCCCCCCGAACAAAAAAGACACCAGCACTAGATGTTTATGCCTTTCTTATGTGTCCTTATGGGCAGAATTTCTTTAGTAGTAGTGTGTTACTGCCTAAAATGTGACTCATCACATGAGAAAGATTTATCAACTAGGGTAGAGCTCAAAAGTCTCTCTCTCTCTTTCACTTAATATCCAAAATGAATCGCTCGACCTAGGTGAAAAAAAGACCAGCCCTTCCAGAAAGGTGGTCATGAGACCTACCTGGAGGAGTCTCAGCCATGAGCTAGATCACTGGAATAATTAGGCCTCCTGCAGCTCCTCCTCGAAGACCACATAATCTCAAACTGGTAATTTAGGGTGTCCTCACTACCTTAGTTGGTAAGCAGTACTGATTTGGAATGTGTAAGAGGTCATTCTCGCATCAGAAGCAAGAAACCTAAAAAGCAGTGTTCTCGTGCCACATGTAGTCATTTAGTAATCATATACTACTGAGGTCATAGTCCCCTTTTTTCTTCCAATTTTCCATGCATCTTCACGGAGTAGAATAGATTACTATAGAAGGA